ATATGTAAAAATGATCTTGAAAGGATTTTAAAGCTGCCATCATAAAAATGCATCAGTAAACAATTGCAAACATGCTTGAACCAAATGAAATAATAGAAAGCATCAAGAAGAAAATACAAAATATAGCCAAGAAATGAAACGTTTAGAACTGAAAGATATAATCACCATAATCAACAGGTTCAGTAGATGTCCTAATAGCAGAATTAAGCAGTCAAAAGAAAGAATCTGCGAAATAGAAAGTGAAATGCCCAATCTAAACAACAGTTCGAAAATAGACTAAAAAGAAAGTGGATAAACACAGGATAAATAAGAAGAAATCTATGCTAAGACACATCACATTCAAAGCTCTAAAAACTAAACAAAAAGAATAATCTTAATAGCAGAGAGAAAAATTACTGCTTATCTTTAGAGGAAAACCAATGACAGAATATTTCTCCTCAGAAACTTTGAAGGCCAGAAGCAAATGACACTTTTTAATTACTGAAAGAAAAGCTCTACCAGCATAGAATTTTTTGACTAGCAAAACTATTTTTCACGAATGTAAGAAAAATTAAGAAGTCCTCAAATTCACAAAACCAACCCCAGAGTTCAGGCTTCCGTCTTAACATATTGATAATAACATTAAATACACAAATCATGAAATTTGAAAAGAGACAGACATTGATGAATCTGTAAGAATAATCACAACTGTATGTTATCTGTAAGACAGAAATATCAAATACAACACAACATGTTATCTATAAGACATGCATATCAAATATAACACTATAAGTAGGTTGACTATAAAAAGAAAATATCTATCTATCTATCTATCTATCTATCTATCTATCTATCTACCATACTAATATTAATAAAAGAAGATCAAGAGTGGCTAACAATAATATCAGATAAAGTATGCTATAGAGTAAGGGAAAGTTACCAAGAACAGAAGCCATATTATATAATGGATAAAAGAGTCATTTCTAAAAGAAGACAGAGCAATTCTTAATATCTATGCACCAAGCAGCAGAGCAAAATATGCACATAGTGAAAACTAACAAAACAGTTAGTCTTGGAGACTTTGATTTCCGTTCTCAATAATTGATAGTACCACTAGATAGAAATTGGCAAGAATAAAGAAGCACTCAACAGCAGCACCTACCCACAGGATCTAACTGACCTGCCCAGTGTTTTTAGAACACTCTAAACAACAGTAGCAGAATTCAAATATTTTTCAAGTGTTCACAAAACATGTACCAAGATAGGCTATAGGCTGCCCGTAAAACACCTCAACACATTTAAAACAATTAAAGTACTAATAAGTGTGTTCTCTGACCACAGAGGAATCAAACTAGAACTAAGTCTTGAAAAGATCATCTAAAATTCTCCAAACACTTGCAACATAGTTCATTCCAAAGAACCAGATTTTGGTTTCCTTTGTGTTTACTATTGTTTTTCTGTTTTCAATTTTATGGATTTTTGCTCTCCTATTTACTATTTATTTTCTTCAAGTTTTAAATCCTTTGACTTAAATCACTCCTCTTTCTGTGGTTTCATAAATGGAAGCTGAGGTTATTGATTTTATCCCTTTTGTTTTATACATATAGATATACATTTGTTTATATATATAAACATACATATTTCATATGTGTGTGTATATATATATATATATATATATATATATATATATATATATATAAACAAACGTGTGGGGGCAGATGTATGTAATGTATGTATCTGTTTATCTTGCATTGCTATGAAGTATTACCTGAGACTGGGTAATTTATGAGGAAAAGATGTTTATTTTACTTATGGTTGTACAGGCTGTACAAACATGTAACCAGTACTTATTTAGCTTCTGATGAGGCCTCAGGAAGCTTTTAGTTGTAGCACAAGGGGAATAAAAGCAGGAACGTCAAATGGTGAGAGAGGGAGCAAGAAAGAGAGGAGGACATGCCACGCTCTTTAAAACAACCAGCTCTGGAGTGAACTAATGGCGTGAAAACAAACTCATTACCTTTGGAAGGGCACAAAACCATTCATGAGGGATCTGCTCTCATGACCCAAACACCTTCCACTGGATCCCACCACCTACGTTGAGGATCACATTTCAATATGAAAGTCTGTGTGTGTGTATATATATATATATATATATATATGTCCAGTGAAGGGACAGGAACAATTCTGCCTCCCTAGGGATTTACTTTACCATTTGTAACACTGTAGGAGGGCTACTATAAGTCTGTAGACAGGAATAAGTTATAACATTTTCAAGTTGCAGGCTTCTGATGGTGAGAGCAAAGTGTGTCCCAGACCCATTGCCAACAAACTGTAATGGGACCAAGATTGCAAACTTGAAGCATAGATCAGGGCCTTAGGAGGATTCCCTAGTTTCTGCTGATACTGGCTTAAATGATGCTAATGCCCTGACTCACCCAGCAAGAGATGGTGACTCTGTCTCCTACAGATGCAGTCAGGGAGGATGGAGACTGGGTGATCTGGATGTCACATCTAACTCCTGGGACTACAAACATAGAAACAAATATTCACACAATTATTTATAAGACGATTTCCCTGAATGGCCAGGCAATACCGAGCACACTGGCTGAGTAAATTCCTAGTGTTCTCCTTCCTCACCTGGGAGTCAGAGCAGCAGGAGCCCCAGGAGCTGAGAAGGGGTCCTCATGTCCATGCTGTGCCCTGTCCGGGACTGACTCCTGCACAGGGTGTGACTAACCTATTAGTGAGTCTTCAGGGCAGGAGGTTGTGCTCTGGGAACATGCAAATCAGCAGGGGATGCAGCAGGCTGGCACAGCTGCAGGACTGGTTCATGGAGAAGTACCTTAGATCCAGCTAAAACTTTGAAAAAATATTTAAACTCTTATTTTCCACATTTTCAACTTGGCCCAGGGCATCACAGCCTGGTTCAGTAGAAAGAATGTGAATCACTTTTCTCTGTTACTTCCCTAAGAATAGTAACATAAGACCCTGTGCGTGCTCCAGTCCTGGAGGAGAATGTGTGCCAAGAACAAGCGTAGGGTAAAACTGGTGGAAGGGAAAAAGGTAGTGTGTTAACACCACCAAATAGCCCATTAAATTTATACTAGTAACTGCTAAGCCAAACAATACCAAAAACGTACCAGTACTATGTTGTCATGAATCAACCTCAGTCGTGTGACTGTTGGGCTGAAAACATCTACCTGACAAATGTATGCAAAGGAGAGAGGATTGAGATGAGGGAAGTCAACTCTCCCTTCCTCCTGTCTCCTGGCTCAGAAGGCACCTGTGTCTTCTGTAAGTTCTGCCCATACTAAGGCGCGACTGCTGGTGTGATCTTTTGTGTGATACCTGAGGTAGGGCTTCATACTACTTCCCTGATTTCACCTACATCTTCCTCTTACACAGATTTAGGGAATATACTATGTCTGCTCCTCAGCGAAGGAACCAATTTGGGCAGCTGGGACAATCCAAGCAGGGAGGCTTTTGTTTGAGATTGAACCATTGTGGGAAGATGTAGAGGAGTGTGGTGGCAGTCATAACTGCTAATATCCTCAGCCTTCACCCTGCTGATTTTAAGCACAAAATCTGTCCCTGATCTACAACCACTGCAAACTCATGGTTATGTGGCACATCACACAGGGCTGGAAGTCTTTAGTGACTCGATAATTAGGGAAGTTCTCCTTGTCCAGATGCATTTCAGGTTATATCACAAATGCCTATTTAAACATAGTATATAGGTCAGCTTCCAAATGTTGAAACTACTCCTGCGATATATCTGGGGATGATTGGTCTACTCTTTTCTCCGATTGGAGAGAACCTGTCTGGGAGAGCAAAAAATTGACTGGAAGTTCTATAGATTAGGAGCTGTGGAGATTGGCCTGGTTTCTGCAGGTACCAATACAAATAGGTGTATTACTATGTAGGAGGCTCTAGACTTGCAGGAGATGGAGGCTGGCTCTCCAGGGCTGACGGGCGGGGAAAGTGGAGGCTGGGTCATTACAATATCCCCATTGGATCTTAAAGTAGTATAAAAAAGAAGTACAAGGTTATATAAATCATTATGAGACATTTGCATAATGTCTCTACAGTAATATATTTAATGCTAAATAATTGTATTGGAGTGTGTGTGTAATTTTGATTCTGCACCGAAAAAAAATTAATTTCAAATAAAATCAGTTATTTTGAAGACCAAAGTTGCCCTATGGAAGTCACTTGTGTTATCCTCCTCTTTCTATGTCAGAGTCTGCACTAGAGCACCCATCCTTGCTTTTTCTGGAATCTTCCTCACTCTTTCACATATAAAAGTGCCCTCACACATTTTTTCTGGAGCAAAAGACACACACATCTAACATGTGAACAGAACACACGTGGGAGGCAGTGGGGCCCACCAAGCTCAACCCCCCACCCCATTCTCCTCTCTCATCTCCTTCTGTCCTTACCAGGGACACAGAGCATTAGCAACCCCAGGAGCTGAGCAGAGAACATCACTGTGAGAAGGTGAATTGCGCAGCCCTGATCAGTCAAAGCAAGGATACAGCTGAGCTTTCATCCCAGACATACAGGGGAAGGTCCTTCCTAAGGGACAATATGCACCCCCTGGTGGTTACAGTGGTATGGCAAGAGCCAATGCATAGTATGCCTAATTCTAAAATGTATCTTTGTTTTCAGTATTTTAACATGCCACATCATGGCCTGAAACAAGCAAACAAAATGAATCGGTAGCCAAAAGTAGTTACTTCCTACTACATATATATAGTAAGTGTTCGTAAGAGTTCAAAAAATACTCTCCATTAGTTCCAGAACTGAAAGAAAGAAAGGTCCAAATAGTATTATCAGAAAATGTTCTTATGTGATGTACATGTTTGAGACTCCCATGAGCTTTGATTTGCTCCATGGCCAAAATCATGCATTGCAGGCAGCTTTCCATTTTCCTGATGGTTGGTCAAAGTTAGGGTCACTTTGTAAAGGGAGAAATAAGTGCCCTGGAAGTCATCAGTGGCAGCAGGTGATGTCAGGATACACTAGGGTCCCCTCCTGGTGATGTGACTGAGTGTCCCTGCATACATGAGAGCAGTAGGGATCTTTAGTGGCTGTTCCAGGGAGGACATGACAACCACTTCCTGGAAAGTCTGTGGGGTGTCAGTGCCCTAATTGGAGAGAAAGGGAGAAGCTCTAAGAGTTGTCCTGGAGGGCTCTGGCCATGTTTACACAGAAGAGGAGCCAGTGCTTGTGACTGAAACCTCATGGCCTCTTTCTGGAAGGCTCTCCAGCCATCTCTAACTGAGCCCATCTGGTGTGGACATGTCCTCTGGGTACCCCAGCAGCTCCTGCTGTACTGAGAGGCTGAGCCTTCTTGAGAGATTTGTTTGTGGGGCCATCACACAATGCAGAGTCCCAGTGAGTGTCTTGCTAACTGTCATATGTGCAGTATCTCCAGGCCCCACGGAAGTGATTGTGAATATGTAATCATTCAAATTTTGAATGGATGTATGTCTCCACTTTTAAAGATATACAGAAAAATACTTTGAAGTTTTGTCATTCTTTGCCTACGCTATGCACTTTTTGCCATAATCTATTTTTTCTGGATATTTCTCCTCAGAAATTCAATTTTAACTTCCCTCACCACACAATGCATTTTTTGGAATACACTGTCATTTTTAATGTGGTTTACTTCCTTAACAGAAAAAGAGTATGTTGTCTTGTTGATTCAAATGCCCCTTTACTTTGATCATATCATGTTATGATTAGTTTTGAAATACTTTTAAAGCATTATTTTAAATGGCATCCATGCAAACTATGTTTCTATACAATTATTACTTGAAGATAGGAATGAGGTTTATTTTCATGTAATGACTGCATTGTGTAAAAATAATGCATGTACTTATATATTGAAAACCATTTATTCTTTTCATGACAATTTAATACCAAAATTGCCATTTCTAAAACATTATTTAGTTGAAAAAGTTATCTCCACTCCCAGGTTCAATAGTATTACGGTTAAAAGCTCCAAAGTCACCACTGCAAAAGATGCAAAAAATTAAAAAAAAAACAAAATACAAAATTTATAAAATTATAACATCAGAGAACAGTGGACAGAATGAGGCCTAGGTAATCTAAAATTCCAGAGTGAGAAAAACCTTTCTGTTTGAGCTGACTTAACTGACTTTTTGTTCCCCTGCCATATTTGCCAAGTTGGCATTTGGACCCATGTTCTACTGTGGCACAGGCAGAGGAACCCATCTGTGACAGGAGAATCTGGCTGTGCTGCTTTGGTTGCACAAGGCAGCCTCTATTCACAGACAGTGTTTTCCATGGACACTGGCTGTGGTTTAAGTGCATACGTAGTCTATTGGTGCTGGCTCAGAAAGGCAGAAACTCCCCATACACAGGACTCATGGAGTTTTTGTTGTTGATAAATTCTGCGCAGACCATTCTTAGTACATGTCTGAATGATCAATGGAGTGGTCGTCATTGTTACTGCTCCCCAATCGATGTAGGCACTATTGGAACTTCAGGTTAGCATGTCACTGCATGATTCGTGTTCTCAAACCCAACCACATGGCATCTGCAGGGTTATTTTAGTTTGACTGTGATTAAGTCACATAACCTCAGGTCTGTTTGCACAGGAACTTCAATAAACATTTGATGATTGCAGAACTAAAAATCATTCTTGATGAACTAATTTTCCTTGAAACTTGCAGTGGTGCAGTCTTGACTTATGGAGCCAGGCAGTGATTCTTTCTGCTCTGTGATTCTTCATAAGAAACACATTTGGGCTCCTTTCTGGGTTCATATCATCAACCCCCAGTAGTCACTGACATCCACAATGTACCTAATGTAAGCTGAAGAGCAGGTTATTGGACCATAGTTGACCTCCACTATCCTTTATTCATGTTCCCACTCCTGAAGTCTGCTTACTGTCCTCAAACTCTTACATTTTGGGGAAAGAAATCTCACATCATTCCATGTTATTTTAGTGGTCTATGAGGTAAATTCCGTGACCTATGTCTTCACTTTAAATTTCTATTTATGAAACTTGACTTTTAAAATTTCAAAAACTAATCTTTTCTTATTTTTTTGGCTTTTTAAAAAATTACACTTTAATTTCTGGGGTACATGTGCAGATCTTGCAGGATTACTACATAGGTATACACATGCCATGGTGGTTTGCTGCCTCCATCCTCCCTTACCTACATTAGGTATTTATCCTAATGTCATCCCTCCCCAACCTCCCCATCCCCTGTGATCACTACCCTAGCCTCCCGCTCCCTCCACCACAAACCTCAGTGTGTGATGTTCCCCTCCCTGTGTACAGGTGTTCTCATTGTTCAACACTCATTTATGAGTGAGAATATACAGTGTTTGGTTTTCTGTTCTTGTGTCAGTTTGATGAGAATGATGGTTTGCAGATTCATCCATGTCCCTGCAAAGGACATGAACTCATCCTTTTTATGGCTGCATGGTATTCCATGGTGTATATGTGCCACATTTTCTTTATCAAGTCTATCCTTGATGGCCATTTGGGTTGGTTCCAAGTCTTTGCTATTGTGAACAGTGCCACAGTGAACATATGTATGCATGTATCTTTATAATAGAATGATTTATAAACCTTTGAGTATATACCCAGTAATGGGATTGCTGGGTCAAATGGTATTTCTATTTCTAGATCCTTGAGGAATTGCCACACTGTCTTCCACAATGGTTGCACTAATTTACACTCCCACCAACAGTGTAAAAGTGTTCCTATTTCTCCACATCCTCTCTCGCATCTGTTGTCTCCAGATATTTTAGTGAGCACCATTCTAACTGGTGTGAGATGTTATCTCAATGTACTTTTGATTTGAATTTCTCTAATGATCAGTGATGATGAGCATTTTTTCATGTTTGTTGGCCATATACATGTCTTCTTTTGAAAAGTGCCTGTTCATATCCTTTGCTCACTTTTTGATGGGGTTGCTTGTTTTTTTCTTGTAAATTTGTTAAGTCCGGTTCAACATATGCAAATCTATAAATGTAATCCATCACATAAGCAGAACCAAAGACAAAAACCACGTGATTATCTCAATAGATGCAGAGAAGGCCGTCAACAAAATTCAACAGCCTTTTATGCTAAAAATTCTCAGGAAACTAGGTATCGATGGAACGTATCTCAAAATAATAAAAGCTATCTACAACAAACTCACAGTCAATATCATACTGAATGGGCAAAAACTGGAAGTATTCCCTTTGAAATCTGGCACTAGACAAGAGTGTCATCTCTCACTACTCCTAGTCAACATAGTATTGGAAGTTCTAGCCAGAGCAATCAGGTAAGAAAAAGAAATAAAGGGTATTCAACTAGGACAAGAGGAATTGCCTCTAGGACAAGAGGAATTGTCTCAATTCCTCAATTGTCAACTAGGACAAGAGGAATTGTCTCAAATTTTCTCTATTTGCAGATGACACGATTGTGTATTTAGAAGACCCGAACGTCTCAGCCCAAAATCTCCTTAAGATGATAGGCAACTTCAGTAAAGTCTCAGGATACAAAATCAATGTGCAAAAATCACAAGCATTCCTACACACCATTAACAGACAGAGACCCAAATCATGAGTGAACTCCCATACACAATTGCTACAAAGAGAATAAAATACTTAGGAATACAACTAACAAAGGACATGAAGGACCTCTTCAAGGAGAACTACAAACCACTGCTCAAGGAAATAAGAGAGGACACAAACAGATGGAAAAACATTCCATGCTCATGGTTAGGAAGAATCAATATTGTAAAAATGGCCATACTGCCCAAAGTAATTTATAGATTCAATGCTGTCTCCATCAAACTATCATTGACCTTCTTCACAGAACTGGAAAAAACCACCTTAAACTTCACATGGAACCAAAAAAGAGCCCACATAGCCAAGACAATCCTAAGCAAAAAGAACAAAGCTGGAGGCATCACACTACCTGACTTCAAACTATACTATAAGGCTACAATAATTGAAACAGCATGGTACTGGTAACAAAACAGAAATACAGACAATGGAACAGAACAGAGACCTCAGAGGCAATGCCAGACACCTACAACCATCTGATCTTTGACAAAGCTGACACAAACAAGCAATGGGGAAAGGATTCCCTGTTTAATAAATGGTGTTGAGAAAACTGGCTAACCGTGTACTGAAAGCTGAAACTGGACTCATTCCTTATACCTTACAGAAAAATTAACTCCAGATGGATTATAGATTTAAACATAAGACCTAACACCATAAAAACCCTAGAAGAAAACATAGGCAGTACCATTCAGAACATTGGCATAGGTAAGAACTTCATGACTAAAACACCAAAACAATAGCAACAGAAGCCAAAATCAACAAATGGGATCTAATTAAACTTAAGAACTTCTGCAAATAAAAAGAAATAATCAATAGAATGAACTAGCAACCAACAAAACGGGAAACAAATTTTGCAAGCTACCCATCTGACAAAGGGCTAATATTTAGAATTTACAAAAAAAAACTACACTTTTCTATCAGCAAGGCACAATTGAAGCAAATAAAGGAATTTTAGCATTCATATTTTCTATCTCCCATGAATTTACAAAAGTCCATTTTGAAGCTGAAATCCAAGATTTTTACTAATTGCCTTCACCCAGCTCCTCATGATGACAGCTTGTGCCGAAGGTTCTCTCCACCATCAATATGCGGTGGGAAGGTAAGTGGCGAAAGAGAAAAATAAGAAGTTAGGAAAGTTGAAAATATCAATTTTGGAATATTACCACATACTATCCTCTTAAATATATACTTAAAACTGCTAAACCTCAAGATGTATTCAACAAATGTTGCAACAAATCTGGCTAACTTGTCTGGCTGTTAACCTGTTTATTTCCCAATGCAGACAAGGCAGGAAGGATTGGAATGAGATTTCCTTCACTTCTCCCTCAGTGCAGTCTATTACCTGTGCAGGCACTCGGATCATTTCCGGTTTCTTACGGCGTATGCCATGCCACGGCTGTTGCAGCTGAAAGAGCTGTGAATAGGTTTTGACTGACTTACAGCTGAGGCACTCACGGGACAGAACCCTCAGATGCAACCTGTCGCCCTGAGTTCTCCAACATGTTCCTCTCTCTCATACAGAGATTCTGCTCAGCTGCTGCCCAGATAAACAACACATTTGAGCAGCTGGGCCACTCCAGCAGAAAGGTTTTTGTTCAGGGCTGTACCACTGTGTGAGGATATCGTGTACTCTGTAGGCAGTAATAAACCCCAACATCCTCAGCCTCTACTGTGCTGATTTTCAGTGTAAAATCTGTCCCTGCCCCACTGCCGCTGAATCTGTCTGGGACCCCAGAGTCCCTGGTAGAAACCTTATAAATTAGGCGCCTTGGAGACTGGCCTGGCTTCTGCAAAAACCAACTCAAATAGGTGTTTCCATTACTATGCAGGAGGCTCTGACTAGACCTGCAGGAGATGGAGGCCGGCTTTCCAAGGGTGACGGGCATGAAGAGTGGAGACTGGGTCATCACAATATCCCCAGTGGATCCTGAAATAATGAGAGAGAAGTGCAAGGTTATGTACAAACTTTAAGAGCAATTTAAAAATAATTTTTCTTTTTATTTATTTCAGGCTAAATCAATTTTTATATTTTGATTCCGTCCCTAGTAATATATAATTTAAAAATAAAAATGTATTTTCAAAGCACATAAGAACCTCTAGAAGTTCTATCAATCTCTCTTTTTGTGTCAGTCTTCACCAGAGCACAGGAATTCTGGAATCTTCCTCATTCTTACAGATCTAAACCTCATATGCCTTACTCACACAGATATAAAAGTCACACCCTCCATCCTGGAGTACAAAACGTGCACATCTACCATGAGGACAGAACACACATGGGAGGCGATGTGGCCCCTAGAGTTCACCTTCCCACCCCATTCTCCTCCCTCATCTTTCTTCTGTCCTCACCAGGGACCCAGAGCATTAGCAGCCCCAGGAGCTGAGCAGGGAGCCTCATTGTGAGAAGGAGAACTGCGGAGTCCTGATCAGTGAAGTCAAGGCTGGCGCTGAGCTTTTATCTGAGACTCACAAGGGAAGGTCCTTCCTGGGGAACAATATGCAAATCCTCTGATGGGTGCAGTGGTGTAGAAATAACATGGTATGTACGGGGGTGTTGGGGCCTTTCCTAGGAACAAAATATTTTGGGTGCTTCGGAAAAAACTAGTAGAGGTAACAATCTCTGCAGCCTGATTGGGACATGAATGTATTTCAATGTTTACTGTGTTTAATGTCTTTTATTTTTATTATTATTTTTTACTTCCTTAGCACTTTCTCAGTGCAAGTTACACTTCCCTTTAATATGGCTAAGCTGTAAATGTTTGGTGCTTCTTATTTCTTTCTTCATGTGTGTTGAGAGGGTTTTGGTTTTCTCTTATTTTTACAAATCAAAATAAAATGTGCCCTGAGTAAAGTGCAAACATGTTCATTGGTCAACAAAATAAAGTACTCATATTCACTATCCAGATACAAATATAAATAATTTTAAATTCCCCACGTGCTTAGTACAATCTGCCTCTAACCTACCTAGGGAACTGCTACTCTGATATCTATCACAAAGATTTGGTTTTCCTGAACATGAACAACATGAGAATTGAAGTAAGTATATTTATGAAGACTTCATTTAGTTTTATGGATTCAAATTTCTGTTCATTGTTATTTACTGTGATTCTGATTTCTGAAGGATTTCTTCCTGAGTTTCTTATAGGACATATATGCTAGTTATGACTTCTTTTCTTTTCTTTTTTTAAGGATAGTTTTGCTGAATGTAAAAGCATTTTTAACTTTTATTTTTGGTACTTTAAATAGCTTTAACATTAATGATTTTTCAAATAACTATTAACGAAGTTACAATCCATATTTGAATTTCACTGAGCTTTCCACTGATATATATATCTACCATTTTTACCTTCAATGTTTTAGGATAAAATTTCAGAATCCTGTATTGCATTCAGTTTTCATGCTTTTTAAATTTCCTACAATCTCTTACAGTTCTTTAGTCTTTGTTTTTAAATACCTTGAAATATTGATGTATACTGACTGGTTATTTTTGAGAATGTCCCTTAAGTTCTATTGATTGGTATTTCCTATTGATTAAAGTCATATTTTTCACTTTTGGCAAAAATATTACAGCAGGGACATGTCTTAGTTATAAAATATTAACATATCATCACTGGTGTTGATAAATGAATGTTACTAATGAACGCTTTTTGTAAGAAAGTGTTGGTCAGAGGTAACCAAGGCAGCTGCTTCTGTCAGTCTTTCTATCTGGTTATATGCTGACTTTGTCAGGAATTTTCTATTTCTATGTGCTATGGTTTAGATGTTTGTGAAATTCCAAAATTTATGTTAGAATTTAAAGCCTAAGTTGATATTAAAAGGTAGAGCCCCTTCGGAAGTTATTAAGTCATGGACTTTGCCCTCAATGAACGGGATTAATGGCCTTATATAGAAGGTTTCAGAGAGCTGCCTGGCCCTTCCATCTCTGTGGTCATGTGCAGACACATCATTCAGTTTATCTCCTTTGCCTTTTCTGGCACCACCAGGCAGCTTCACCAGACACTGAATCTATCAGCATCTTGATCCCGTACTTCTGAATTCCAGAATTGTGAGAAACAAATATTTATTATTTATAAATTTGAGTTTGTTATAGCTGCATGAATGAATTCAGACACTATCCGAGTCTCTCCACTTTTTTTTTTTTTTTTCCAGAATTCGGTTCTACTTGAAGTCTGTTCTCCAATAGAGAATACTAATTAAATAAATTATGCTCACTCTCAAATGTCAAGTGTTTCTATCATGGCCATCTACCACTGCAATGTTGATGACCTGAAGGAAGGAAAAGAGGATTGGTATCATACACACACACACACACACACACACACACACACACACACACACACACTTTATGTATATTTACTTTAAGTTCTGGGATACATGTGCAGAATGTGCAGATTTGTGAATGGGTATACATGTGCCATGGTGGTTTGCTGCAACCATTAACCCGTCATCTACATTAGGTATTTCTCCTAATGCTATCCCTCCCCTAGCCCCATACCTCCTGATGGGTCCCAGTGTGTTACATTTCCCTCCCTGTGTCCATGTGTTCTCATTGTTCAACTCCCACTTATGAGTGAGAACATGTGGTGTTTGGCTTTCTGTTCCTGTGTTAGTTTGCTGAGAATGATGGTTTCCAGCTTCATCCATGTCCCTGAAAAGAACATGAACTCATCCTTTTTATGGTTGCATAATATTCCATGCTGTATATATGTCACAGTTTCTTTATCCAATCTATCATTTATGGGCATTTTGTTGGTTCCAAGTCTTTTCTATTGTGAACAGTGCTGCAATAAACATACGTGTGCAGGTGTCTTTGTAGTAGAATGATTTACAATCCTTTGGGTATATAACCCAGCTGGGTCAAATGGAATTTCTGGTTCTAGATCCTTGAGGAATCACCACACTGTCTTCCACAATGGTTGAACTAATTTACACTCTCACCAACAGTGTAAAATTGTTCCTATTTCTCCATATCCTCTTCAGCATTTGTTATTTTCTGACTTTTGAATGACAGCCATTCTAACTGGAATGAGATGGTATCGCATTGTGGTTTTGATTTACATTTCTCTAATGATCTAATGATGAGCTTTTTTTCATGTGTTTGTTGGCTGCATAAATGTCTTTTTTTGAGAAATGTCTGTTCATATCCTTTGCCCACTTTTTAATGGGGTTGTTTTCCTCTTGTAAGTTTATTTAAGTTCTTTGTAGATTCTAGATGTTAGCCATTTGTCAGATGTATAGATTGCAAAAATTTTCTCCCATTCTGTAGGTTGCCTGTTCACTCTGATGATAATTTCTTTTGCTGCTCAGAAGTTCATTAGTTTAATTAGATCCCATTTGTCAATTTTGGCTTTTGTTGCCATTGCTTTTGGTGTTTCCGTCATGAAGTCTTCGCCTATGTCTATGTTCTGAATGATATTGCCTAGGTTTTCTTCTAGGGGTTTTATGGTTTTGAGTGTTACATTTAAGTCTTTAATCCATCTTGAGTTAATTTTTGTATAAGGTTTAAGAAATGTGGTTTAGTTTCAGTTTTCTGTATATGGCTATCAGTTTTCCCAACACCATTTATTAGATAGGAAATTCTTTCCCATTGCTTGTTTATGTCAGGTTTGTCAAAGATCAGATGGTTGTAGATGTGTGGCATCATATCTGAGGCCTCAGTTCTGCTCCACTGGTTATATATCTGTTTTGGTACTAGTACTATGCTGTTTTGGTTACTGTAGCCTTTTAGTGTAGTCTGAAGTCAGGTAGCATGATGCCTCCAGCTTTGTTATTTTTGCTTAGGATTGTCTTGGCTATACACGGTCTTTTTTGGTTCCACATGAAATTTAAAGTAGTTTTTTCTAATCATGTGAAGGTCAATGGCAGCTTGATGGGGATAGCATTGCATCTATAAATTATTTTGGACAGCACGGCTATTTTCATGATATTGATCCTTCTTACTCATAAGCATGGAATGTTTTTCCATTTGTTTGTGTCCTCTCTAATTTCCTTAAGCAGTGGTTTGTAGTTCTCCTTGAAGAGGTCCTTTACATCCTTGTAAGTTGTGTTCCTAGGTATTTTATTTTCTTTGTTGTAATTGTGAATGGAAGTCCAATCATGATTTAGCTCTCTGTTTGTCTATTATTGGTGTATACGAATGCTTGTGATTTTTGCACATTGATTTTGTATCCCGAGACTTTGCTTAAGTTGCTTATCAGCTTAAGGAGATTTTGGGATGAAATGATGGGGTTTTCTAAGTGTAGAATCATGTCATCTGCAAACAGAGACAATTTGACTTTCTCTCCTTTTATTTGAATATACTTTATTTCTTTCTCTTGCCTGATTGCCCTGGCCAGAACTTCCAATACTATGTTGAATGGGAGTGGTGAGACAGGGCCAACGGAATCCAGCAGCACAGAAAAAGCTTATCCACCATGATCAAGTCAGCTTTATCCCTGGGATACAAGACTGATTAAACATATGCATTTAGGAGGGAGAGGCAGGTGGATTATTTGAGGTCAGGAGTTTGAGACCAGCCTGGCCAACATGGTGAAAACCTGTTTCTAATACAAATACAAAAATTAGTCCAGCGTCACGGTGGGCACCTGTAATCGCAGCTGCTCAGGAGGCTGAGACAGGAGAATTGCTTGAACTCAGGAAGCATAGGTTTCAGTGAGCTGAGATCATGTCACTGCACTTCAGTCTGGGTGACAGAGTGACACTCCATCTCAAAGAAAAAAAACTGATGTATGCATCAATCAAACCCACTGTTTTTCATTGTCTTTTTAGTCATTGGCAGATTTTGCGTGCAGTTCTGAGGCTCTGGAAAGCCAGACCATGCCAATACTACATCTGGAGCCAGGAGGTCACTGTGGATATGAGCAAACGTGGGTCTGATCTACATGTCATCAAAGCTATAACAGTTAGCCTGGGGAGGGCCTACGGGTTTTGGAATTTCTCATACCTTGATAAAGAGACACCATGATCTTGTCCTTTTAAAACACTTTGATATCTAGACCACACTCGAGAAACCTGGTCCTCACTCCTTTCCTTTGCTAGAAAGACTCTCATAAATAACTCTTTCTAACATGTATTTTCTTTTTAATTCATTTTTGCAGACTTACACTCTATTTTAGGAACAGTATGTGACAGGGAGAACTTGTTTTCAGCTAAATACCCTTGGGTTTTGTCATTTCTGAGTTTCCATAGGTATCATTTGTCCTATGGCCGTGTGGTCGGCTGTATGAATGAGCAGAAACAAGATATATAAAATTATTGCTGGATGAAAAGGGTAAGTCCTAAAATGGAGTGAAGAAATTGTGATAATGAAAGTAGTAATAACAATAATACCCTGAAGTCTGGTCTTTATTGTCAGAGATGCACCTATCTTCATCTAGGATCACTGTTTCATATGTACCCCCTCTTGTGGTGAAGTGTGAGAGACAA